TCTGTTCTTATTTCTATTATATTGTTGCATATATAGCGTATATAATACAAAAAAAAAAAAAGAATATAGAAATTATGAAATTATTTGCTTTTAATTAATATTAATGATGTCTGGTAACATTGATTTTCAATTTTATAACAAGAAAAATATCATTTCTATATTTCTATTATAATCAATGAATATTTTATTAATTGAAGTGCATAAATAATTTAGGCAATCGAATAAATTAATTGAATTGGAAAATTTCAAAAATAAAAATTTATATGCTATTTATTCTAGATAGATTGAGAGAATTTTGTTTAAAATCTGAAAATTTCTGGTTCTACTCAATGCTTTTAACATTAATCTAACTATAAAATTTTGATTAATTTCATAAAATCTAAATATAGAAATTTTAATCTAATAAAATTTTTTGAAATTTATTTTTTATTTAATTTTAATTTCAAGAGTTTAAGAATTTTTAAAAATTTATTCTATTTGAGATGAGGACTGCCACTCTACCATAAAATTTACAATGAAAGAAACTCAGTTTATGAAGGATTTAAGCTCAGACTATCCTGAATTATTAAATTTTAAATGTATTACAAATGTTTTTGAAAATTAAAAAATTTAAACTAAAATTGAAAGACTTACATATATAAATAAATACCAATCCGTGATGTACGAAAATGTGTTCAAATTATGATTTTTTACATTTTAAAATTCTATGTGGTTTTTTAAATGGTAAACAGTAAAGAAAAGTCACTAATTTGACAGATGGAGAATGTATTAAGGATGGTATTCATTTTTTTTTAATCAAGAATTCTTGATAATTTTTGCTACTTTATTGTTATACTCATACTATTTAAAATGCCACCTATCTGACAAAAATAGTAATTTAAAAGTTCATATTAGATAATATTGTGTAAAAGTAGCAATGACTCTGACTTGCAGTAGCAATGGACCTTGTAAACTTAACAAAAATTAATGATCCGAACGAAACACGTTTTTTTTTTACTCACTTTTATTGCGCATCATAGAATTTACTTAATACTCGTAGCTGTGTTTTTCAATAATTCAATTCCAACTTAGTACTAAATGTGTCCTATGTTTGATAATTGAGTACTGTATGTGCTATCAAAAAAATGTGTTTTATAATGCGGTACTGTGATTGTAGTTTGTTTTATAATTTCGACTACATTTTAGGATTTTTAAGATGTACTCGAAAAAAAAAACTCAGTTTTCATTTTATTGCAATAAAACTCATATTGCATGCCTTTTGTTTCGGAATCTCTTTTAAATGACATTTTGTGTAGGCTCGTTAGTGGGAAGTAAATAAGCGCCACAAGACACAAATTGAAGAGTAAATAATGATCGAACTTTCTTATTATATAAAACACTCCTTTTAAAATCTGTTCTTTTAATAGCACTTAGACCTTAAAATAAAATTTTTCACCATAATTTAAAATCTGTTTAAAAAAAAAATCTATATACGTCAATTTGAGTTTTAAATAAGAATTTGTACTGTGAAATATGAAATGAACGTTTTCAAACTTATGAAAACTTTTTAAAATAGAAAAAAAAAAATCGGCTATTGTTAAAATGAACAGGATGAAATATGGAATTTTTATTTTAAGATATGTAGACATCAAAAAATACAAAAGAAAAGCAAAACAGAAAAAAAAAGTTAAAATAAACAAAACTTTTTGAAATTTAAAAATTTTTTTTGTTGTTTTGTCCATTTTTAACTCCTTAGAAAAACTAAAAATAAAATTTTAAACTATAGTAAAACTTTTTTTTCTTACCCAAATGCCGTAATATGATAATAAACTCTAACATATGCTACCAAGGTTTTGAAATCAACCTCCTAGCTCTGTCCCCCGTATACATACATTTTGTATTTTTGATAAAATTATGAATATAAAATGACAAACCTAAAGATAAGCAAGCTTTCATGTTTCAAAAAATTATAATAGAAACCAAAATGTTCACTTCTCTTTCAAAAAAAAAAATACGCAATTGCAGTACATTTGCATTTTGAATTTTTGAAGATAAAAATATTTTCGTTAAAAATCCTGTTCTTTTCAATTTATGCAGAAAATTTAAAACAAAATTTTATTTTGTGTTTCATGTACATTATAACTTTTTTTTTTATAATGTGAAATTTTTCGATTGTTTGAAATTTCAATATCACAGCTTTTATAGTTTCTAAGATATAGTCAAATAAATTTTGAAGTTGTATGGCAGCTACCCGAACCAGTACCCCAATCATATCCAATTTAAATAATTTAAATAGATTTCTGGCATTTAATATAATAAATCATTTGTGAACATTTAATGAACTTAGCTTAATGAGTTTTTGAGTTATCGTTTGGACGGACAGAAGGACAGGCAAAACTAAATCGACTCAAAATTTCACGGTATTTTTTAGCATTACAAACGGTAAGGCAAATTTAGTATACCCTTCGAACATGTACGTTCGTACGGGTATAAAAATAATTTTCTTCCGCCCTCGATTTTAGAAGAATATTAAACTTTTCTAAAAGCAGACGGAAAAACGTAAAAACGGAATGAATGTAATGTGCAAATTTTTTTCACAATTTTTTTGGAAATGTATTAAAAAATAAAATATTTTGGAATTTCCCGAGATGCATCCGAAAAATTTTTGTACTGATTCCAATACCTTTTATATACGAGTGTGTTATACATTACAAAAAAATGGAATTTAATATTGCTAATCAATAATTAGATTGCGATAATCGCTTTTGATTGCGTTTATTTTTGTGTAAAAACCGGGTTATGTAAATATGTATATATATACATATACATATCTACTTATGCGTATAGAGTAAATTTAATTTCATTTCAAAATCAATTTATAAAAAAAAAAAATCTTTTTTTTTTAAATTTATGCAAACTATGAACTTTGGGGAAAATGAAATTATAATTGTTTTATGATTATCCTGAATTTTTTTTTTTTTTAGAATGAACAAAATAGCAACAAAAAAAATATTCCCTATATTGTAAAATTACGAAAGACTACAGTGGCTTTAGCAAATATGCTAATTTATTGTTCTGACATGGTTTATTTTTTTCTTTTTTATTTCTTTCGTTTTGTTGATTTTTCCTCATATTTTCATTAAAACTAAATTTATGGTTTTAGTTTTTTTTTTTTGTAATTTAGCGAATTAATTAGGAGGTTTTACAATTTTAATTGCCAATAAATTGCATTTAATAATCATTGAGTTCAAAATACAAACAAAAAAAGAAAAGGCTAAACGAACCACAAATTTCTGACACAAATACAACCACAAAAGTCAATTAAAAGATTTTATTAAATTTTTTTTTTTGCATATTATTAAAAAATCTATAATAACTTCAGCAAAAATAATATTTATGCGTAGTTGCTGTTGTGGTTTAAAATGTAGCCAACAGGTGCTGCTATATATTTTATATGTGTATGTGTATGTTTAACTAATAAATATAATTTTGATAATGATAAAATCTGATTATCAAAAAAGAAAATTTAAATTAATTAATGAAAATTTTGTTCGATTTTTTTTTGTCACGAAAATTTATGCACACATAATATTTAAGTTGTAGAGCAACACGCCTTTGTTTTGTGCTAATTTAATTGCATATTAATGGCAGGCATGAAATAATTTAAAATCTATGATAAAACAGTAAGTTAAGTTGACAGTAACTGGTTTTGGTGTGAATATAATGATTATGGCATGAAGGAATAGTGAATGTATTCATACATGAATTTTTATAAAATTTATTTAAATAAAGAGGTTGTTAAAGTAATTCATTATTTTTAATGTGATATTCGAGTGTTGAGTGAATTGTGAATTTTGAGTTTATTGAGAATATTTTAATGCCATTATTATTATACCTATTAGAAAAAATTGAAATTCAGAAATTTGAATTCTTCGGAAAAAAATAGTATATGTTCTTCTGTACAGCAATTATCTACAGAATTTTGCTTGTAAAAGTAGAGGGTTTTGATATGAAATTCAGTTGGTCGTGTCTGTTGATTATAATCAAGAATTATTATAATATGAAAGTATTTGTTTAGCAATTGCAAGGTAATTAATATGAGTTTTTGTGCTCAGAAGTGAAGACCTCATTAAAAGTAAACAAAAATTATATTTGACAACTTTTGAATGAAAGAAAATGAAAATTCTACCAGTGAATCAACATTTATTTTTAATAATTCTTAAATAATTCTTAAATAATTTTCATAATTCTTTACGATAAAATCAAATTGAAAATTTTTTATTTTTTACGATTTTCTTGAAACCACAATTTTTCATTTTGAAATTTAATTTTTAAATTTATTGAATTCATTTTTTTCTTGAATTGGTGAACTTTCAATTTCGAAATTGAATAATAATTGTGAATTTATAAGTTGATTACTGTTTGCAATCTCAAAATTATATTCGCTGTAAATTTTATTTCTTAAATCTTAAAATATAATTGTTATACGTATTCAAAGGACATATTCATGAAGTCCTTTTATATCATTTAAAATTAAATTACTTAATAAATATAATTTACATCAACAGATGTCTCTAAAAAATATTTTACTAATCTAGTGAAAAATAGATGTCACAGTTTGAAATTAAAAATTTCGGAGACACCTATGTGTGAAAATATAATTCGCATAAAGTATATGAAAATATAGATAATTAGAGTCATCTGTTGATTTATTTATCTTAATTCACAATAAACTAAAAAATATTTAGATGGCACTGTAAATTAATATAATAAGGATAATAAAATGAAATTTATACATTTTTCATGTTTATACCAGATTAATTTTAGTCGGGTTACAAACCAAAATTATTTGGGTATGAATTCTGTGATTTAAAAGAAAAAGTTTATGAAACAGATGTCGCTTTAAATTCTCTTACAATTTGAAATTTTTGGAGAATTCAAAAAATTTAAAATAAGTTTCCGGTTACGGCAGTGAAATTACGGAAATATAAGTAACAAAATAAAAATAAATAAATGGTAAGTACACGTAACTAAAACGAATGTTTTAATAATTTATTTTTTTCCACTTACATTAAAATTACATAACTCTTAAAGTAAATATTAATTTTCTTTTTAATATAATAAAGCTCAATTAATTAAACAATTAATAATTTAATGATTTATAATAGTTTTAATAAGGGAAAATATGATGATAAGGGCATAAATTTTATAATTTTTTTTGTATTTGCAATATTAAATTGCTTTTACTAATAACACCGAAATATTTGAAGTTCTTCACTTCTATCATATTAATTTAGTTGAATTAAAAGTGATAAATGGAATTTATATATACATATATAACTACATAAGTAAATATGTATATATATATAGAATTATGTGAATTATAATTACACTTTAATAAAATACAATTTTTATATATCAATAGCATAGCCTGATAATTTAACACCGGGTGCAATTTCTTCATCAACATATCTTGTTTGAAATTCATTATCACCAGAATTTGAATTATTTTGTTTTGAATTATCATTATTCGATGATGAATAATTATTTGTTTTTGGATTATCACGATTCCATGATCTACTATTAGTTTCAGATGATTTAAATTTATTTACTTGACTAAAATTTGTTGTTGTTGAATTTTCATTATTCTGTGATCCTCTACTATTATATTCAAATGTACTTGTATCTTCAGGTCTTGAATAATTAGTTTTTCTCAACATCGATTTAAAATTAAATGGTGGATTATCATTATCGTAATTATTGTCACTCTAAAATAATTTATTAATAAAAGAAATTAATAATTTTAAATTAATTTCATAAATGGAAAATAAAACTTACATTAAAATTTCTACCCAACATTTTCAATTCACTAACATGATTTGGTGGACGAAAATCTCGATTCACCGGTATATTATTATTATAATTTCGACTTCGATTCATTATCGATGCATCATTATTCTTTTGCATATGTGGTGGTAATGGTGCTGCATAATTTTTAATTGAATTCCTCCTTGAACCAGATCGACTTCCACCAGTTCCTTGACTTACCATTATATTTGAATAATTTGAATATCGTTGATTTTGGCTTTGATTAAAATTATCTTTCATTAAATTTTGATTATTACCAGAAAACATTGAATTTTCATTATAATTTTGTTGTAATAAACCTAAATTAGACATATTAGGATCATATTGATTAAAATTTGATCTAATGTCTGTATATTGATTAAAACCAGTTTGATTATTAAAATTGCGATTAGAATTAAAATTTGTATATGGATTGAAGCCAGATTGATTATCAAATTGAGACGTTCGGCTAGCAGAACTAGGTATTATATCTCCACCATATTGATTACTTCGTGCAATAACACCAAGCCTATATTCGTACATATATATATATATATAGATTTTTTAAAAATTATTTCTTAGAAGAACGAAATTCATAATTATATGTTTGGTTTTTGGAAATTTTTGAAATTTATATTAGAAAAAATTAATAAAAATAGAAAATACATAATAATATATTACGTTTAATATATGAGCCCTCTGGAATATTTAGCCGCAACTTCAATCACTTTAATTATTCAGTCATATCTTAATGCAGTCAACTATTAAATTACAAATGAATTAATGGATCAGAAATAATGAACGAATATTTATTACCGATTTAAAATTAATCTGGCAAATATTGAAGAATTGGTGCGAACCGAATCGAAATGTGTCGTTCATATGTGACATTATTTACATATAATAATTGTGAATATGTATAGAAATATATTTTTCAATGATTAAATTAATTATTAAATTGATTTTCGTAATTAAAATGAATGTAATTATTTACAACGAACGACGATGGAATTATTTTGAAATTATTTAGGATTGAACCAAGAGTTTAAAGTAATGTTATGCATGGTTATGTAACACTGGAACTTGTTTACCAAAAAAAATATAATAACAATCGGAATTAAACAATATTTGATGATTTAAAAATGTCTAATTTAAATTACATTATAATATTTGATTTATGTATATTTAAGTGTGAATTGTGTGTATTTACAATGTCAATGCAATAAATATGCTAACCCTCTTGCAATGCAGTATAATTATTCAACATATTTTTGATTTAGATTTAAATTAAATTTACAAATTAAAAATTCTTTTTGAGGTTCTCATTATAAAGCGGAATTAGTTAATATTTTAATTTAGGAAATATGTTTTAATATCAAGAAATGTGATCAATACATAAAAGAATCGATAAATGGCCACTAATAAATGAATTTATAACATTTAAATTCTTTAAATAGGGAAATTTTTGCGATCAGATCTTTAAGAAATTTTCTTGCTAAAGAAAGCAAATAGGGTTTCTCTCGGATTATATATGTATTCTCTATATATAGGATACTCTCTACTTTGTATATAGAGGATACTATATCTCTACTGTATATATAGGATTATACTGCATTAGATTTATAGAGGGTTAACGTATGTAAATGCTATTTTGTTTCATATGTACAAATGTTATGTGTTTTAAGAATAAATTTATTTGATTTAAAATTCAGTAACATTTTTTTTTTCTAATAAATATTGTATTAAATCTATTTTATTATTTAATTTTAAATTATTTTTGATTTATTTTTTAAATCAATTATTAGTTAAATATTAAGAAATTCATTCTATTAATTTAAAATTCGTCATGTTATTCTTAAGCAGAAAAATTCACCTAAATAGAAATTTTACAAATATGTAATAAATGTTACTGAACCCAGAATCAAAAAATTTTTGGTTTTCATACAAATATTTAAAATTAAAATTAAAAAATCTTACATAGATATTTATTTATAACTTAAATAATAATTAATAAAATTCTTAAAAGTCAATTTGAAATTTATTATGCACAAAAAAATTGCTTACTATTAAATAAAATTATATATTGGACAGCCGGCTGTTGTGGGGTAATGAATTTCGAATATAGAAATTTTTCGAACATTTTTAATTTATTAAATTTCTTATTTTTATTTAATTATTATTTAATTTTGTTTTGTAAATTTAAATAAAATCTAGTTATTATTTTAAATAATCAATTAAAAATTTAAAATCGAAATATATTGATTAAATAGAAATATACTTAAATCGATTTCTAATTTAATTCTATTAATAAGGTTGCGATAATCGATAAAATTTCATAAAAATCGATTTTTTGTTTTAATTCCTTTAGTTTAGTATAATAGCAGTTAATGTCATTGCTATAATTATACAAAATGACATTAAATTATCTCAAATTGACTTTCAGTAATACTTAATCTATGTAAAAATAAATTATGAACAAACAAACCAAAAAAAAAGAATTATAAATATTGAATGTTCCATAATAAATTATTTATTCCTACTTTTTCATCATATTTGGATCTCTAACGAATGGCTGGCATAATACATTATCACTTTCATATAATTTATCCCAATTTGTTTGACAACTTTGTTCTTTTTTATATGCATTATATGTCATTAAATATGCAGTTAATGATGGATTCATTTGTAATGGTGCATCCCATGGTTCTTCTTCTGGTTCTGTTGTATTAATTTTCATACGTGATATTGGATTAACTGGATCACACATATATGTTGTATCAAAATATGGTATATCTTGTAAACGAAATGGTAATTTACGTGTTGGTAATGGAACTGGTCCAAATGCTGATACATTAACTTGTTTTACATTAATTTTATCTAAATTAACACCTTTACATATATTCAATAATTGTGAGACAAATTTTTGATTAAAAAAATGAACCTAAAAATAAATGTTTGTTTTTTTGTTATAAAAATTTATTAATTACAATTATTTATAACATTGTATTGTTGTATAAATTTACCTGTTGGGATAAATTTGTAAAATCTATAAATCTTGCTGCACGATAATGTAATAAAACTTGAAATAAGGATTTTGATCTCCATTTTCTTGTATAACTTCTTAAAAATTGAGCTGTTTCTAAATTTAAATTACCGCTTTCAGTACATAATGGACCATATTTTGCTCGTACTCTATATCCTCTATAGACTATGTTTTCATATTTTCCATTTGTTCCAAATTATGTTTCCATTTCAATTATTTGTTTTTCAATTTAATTTTCATATTTTCAATAGGTTTGCATTCCAACAATTTATTTTGCATTTTTGTTACAATGTAATTTATGAGAAATTGGTTGCAGCCCAAATGATTAAATTCAAATATTTTAAAAGAAAGAAAAATAAAAAAAAAAATTCATAAAAAATGTCCTTAATTTAATTAAAATTTCATTTATTTTTATTGTCATTTTTTACTTTTTTTTTATAAAATTAAATTGAAAGTGACACATTTAAAAAAAAGTAAAAAAAAAAAAAGTATTAATGCGTTACGTATTCAGTCTGAATGACAATCAGTTCGTACAATCATCATCAATGTCGAACATTATGATTATTTTTAAAGAAGATTATGCAAAAATGTTGCCAATATGCAGCGAATTAAAAAGGGAAGGAAAAAATTTTTTTTTTAATTTTTTTCTAAACAACACAGAAGGTGTTTAAAAAATGTAATCCAATTTAAAAAAAAGTCAAAGTTTTCGGTAAGTACAAAAGTGTTTAAAGTGAAGTGGAAAAAATAAAAAAAAATTATTTTCCCGCGTTTCTGCTTTCCCGACCCGACGATTTTCAATAATTTTTGTGTTTTTCTTTAGGAAATAATAAGAAATTGTTTTTGTTTTTTTTTAAATTATTATTGTTAATATTTTTAAAATATTTCAAATTTATTTTTCTCTCATTCTTCTTCTTTTATAATACTTTTAAACGTTTTTTCTCTATATGGTCTAAAATTTAATAAAATATTCTTTTATTTCTTTACGGTGTAAGTAAATATATATATATGTCTGTATCTATGTAATTAATACTTAAATAGGTAATTAAATGTTGAAATTAAAAATTTATATGTAGTATTTTTGTAATAAACTATATGATTATCTCAATAATATTGTAAGAAGTCAAATATATAATATATAAAATATACAGTTATTCAAGATTTATATTATCGCCGGCAACACTATTTTTTTGCATCAATTCATAATGAAATTTTAAGATTTGTAGTGTTTACTCGTATTGTGAATTAATTTGGAACTTAAGAAAAAAAACATGTTTTTGAAATTACGGAAAATTAATTCAATAATGAAAAATTTTGAAATGTGCCAAGAAAATATCAATGAAATACGCTTACGTTTCAATACTAGTTCCATAACTAATAATTCGAATATTTTTCTAATACATATTAAGCAAACATAATTCATCTATTTGCAACCGAAAAAGCACAATTAAAATGGTTGGAAATTTTTAAAAACACCAATATATGTGAGCATGTTTTGATTTATTCAATTTCGATATTAGGACATTGTGATTTTTGACATATGTATGAAAACATGCATAAAATTTATTTTTGAAAATAATTATAATTAAAAACGGTAAAAATTAAGTAAATTGAAACATATAAAAACAGAAGAGGATAAATAAAATAATTTATCTGTCAAATAATATTAAAAAATATTTAAAATTGCTATGTCATGTAATCAATATGCGGCGATGCAATAACCCGAGGCTTACTGTATATATTAATATTTTATAATAGTGAGAACACATAATTTTAATATTATGCATTTTGTTTTATAATTTATAAATTTATATAGCGGTATTATTTCTATTCTTCTGTAATTCTTATTTATTTTTAATGATTCTTTCATTTTAACTTTAAATTTTAGACCGGTTTTCTACTACTTTGTGTAAATATAAAATATACATAAAAATGTATATATGTATATATGTATGTATGTTTATAAATAAACTATTGTAAGTATATAGTTTTTAACATTATATAAATAATGTTTTTTTTTAGAATACTGTTTTTTTTTCTTGCAATGTAGTATTAAGATTTATATATTTTTTTTCTTTACTCCTCCTTAATTGAATCAATTGTGGTTTTAACAGCTTCCTCAGCATCTGAAGGTATGTCACTTGTAGACATATAATCAACTTCAGATGCTTCTGATACTAGCTGTTCACTTATTTCATCGTCATTAGCATCATTATTTTCATTGGATTCGTTTGATTCATTAGGTTCATTAGCCTCAGTAGGCTCAGTAGGTTCAGCGGGTTCGGTAGGTTCAGTGGGTTCAGTGGACTCAGTGGGTTCATTAGGTTCTGTTGGTTCATTAGTTTCGTTGGTCGTTTCGTTGGTGGGTTCATTTGAATCATTAGGTTCACTAGATTCAGTAGTTTCCTCACCTTTTTGTATTGTAGTGGCAGCTTCATTCTCTTCTGCTGTTGCAGGTTTTGCTAAATGCAAGAAAAATATATTTATATGTGTGTATGTTTTATTTATAAAAATAATTTTAATTAAATAATTTTTTTAAATTAAATTTAATAAATATTTTAGGTAAACAGAAAACTTACTTTCTAATGGCCTCTTCCCTTCTTTCATTCTACGTCTTGATATGTAAGATCTCATCATCGATTGAACTTTAATAATCTTCTTTACTTGAATTTCATATAATCTAGCAGAAAAAATTATTTTTTTCAATTTTTCTTAATTTCATAATTTGTTTTTCATTACCTTGACAGAAATTCGTCGTTGTAATAACGTAGGAATACTTTTGATTTACCGATTGCCCATCCTTCCATTTTAAGACGAATCAATAACAATCGGCAATTATCTTTTGTGACATCAACAGTTTCATCAAAGTCAAATGCAAGAAATTGATACCTAAAATAAAATTTTAAAATTCAATACAAAACTAAAACAATAACAAAATACTAAAGGCCTCAATATTAATTAAACAGAACATAGCGCGTCGCAGCTGCCGGGAAATGGACAAAAAGGAGACCATTTTTCACTATCTCTGCGAATGTCCGGCTCTGTGCGGTGCTAGACTGGTCATGTGAGATAGAGCATGTGTGACGGGGCTTGACAAAATATCGAAAACTAGCACCGGAGATTTAGAGAGATTTCTCAAGAGAACCGGGTGGCTTAGATAGGCTACCTATAATCGTACGCTTAATGACACCCTAGTGGTCAAGGGGTAGTGGTAGTAAAACATTTGTGCTAATTGGGGTGAGGCAGATCTACTACACCTACCACGTCAATCAACTAACCAAACAACATTATACACGTTTCTCTTTAATATTGATATTTCTCACCCTTATGAGGTGCGTAAACAACATATGATGAAAAAATGTTGAAGTGAGTAAAAAATATATGTATATGGTGAAAAACTATTGTTTACCTTTTTAAGAATTCATGGTATGATATTCTACTTGAATATCCCTGTTGTCTTGCTATGATGGTATCCATAACAGCTAATGCTTTCATTTGTTGTTGTACCATATCTGGATGGAAATTTCTTGGTGCATATTCTAAATCAGCTCGAATACATCTAATGAAATGAAAGCCTACATCTGATTGTTTGGTACTCAATAATTTCATCATTTCTAAGCAAACTGATCTAAATTGAGCTGATATTGTTCTAAGATTTGTAGCTTGAGAGTATTGTCCCCTCGATAATGTATTCAAAACCTGTTTTTTTTAATTTAATGACAGAGAATATAATTTATAATTGTTGAATAGCAGAAAAACATTTTGTTTACATAAGTTCTTTGTTTTCCTTCTTGTTTCTGTTCAGTTTCAAAATCCATTGTTAAATTTCCAGTTTTTGTTAATTGATTTGTAAACAATAACTTAATTGTTTCATCTAATGATGTTCTTAATGATTCAATCATTTCTGGTGGCACAAAATCACGATTTTGATCAGGTATTACTCTCAAATCATATACCACTTTTCCAGTATAATGTGCAACAGCAATTTCATTATTACTTTGCATTTTAATATATGCACTTCGTTTTTCAATTACAGCATCTATTAGCGGTGAAGTTTTATTTTCATTTCAAAATTTTTCAAAATATTTTTTTCTAAATTTTACCTGCGATCGACTCATAACTAAGGTTATCTTTAGTTGCATCATCGAATTTGTAAAAAAGACCTTCTGGCTTTGTTAAAAGTCGGTCTAACGTATCTTTATTATCATGATAATTCAATTGAACTGGAGGTACTTCATCTGCTTCCTTAATCAAATAAAATTAAAAAATTTGAAATTAAAATAAAATTTTAATAAAATTGAGATTTTTTTTAAATTTTTTCTATTGTTGAAAACTTTCCCTTACCTGTTCAAACATTTCTAATGCAAACGTCTTTTGGTTATAGTGATATTGCATCTGTTCATTCATAGTATTGACAATCAGTTGTTGAAGATCATTTCGATGGAAACACTCGAATCCAAACATATCATAAATAACAATAGCATTTGAGTCACCACTTAAAGTTATAAAATATAATCTATTATACTCAACTCAGTTTTGTAGATTTTATATGCTTTGTACTTACAATACAGCTCTGGCGAATGCTAAATTCATATTAATCTTAGCAACAACCCAATCTACAAAACGACAATATATTGTTGCAGCTAATGCATCTCTTGCATCTCTTGCTTCCTCTGGGGTATATTGGCAGCGTTCAGCAATACCACCTTTAACTTTGATATATTGAGTTAATGACCATTGGAATTTCTTTTCATCAACTTTTAATAGATCACATATTTTTGTAACAATGTTACTATCTTCTAATTCCGCACCTTTACTTTCACTTTTAAATCGTATATTACCAATAATAAGAATGGCAGCCAAAATATTACGTACACTTTGTATATTTATTTCTGACATATCTAAATTCAATAAAATTTCTTCGAATTCCTTGTATTTTTCGGCATTCTCTTTTGGTGTATCACGAACATATTTTAATTTGGTTTCTACCTTTTCTTGTGGTACTCTCAAATAACGATAATTTCTATCACCTTTCAATTTATAATCTTTATGTTTATTTTCCGATACTAACCAATCATAGAAGTAATAAAAGATGTGGAAATTATGCTGATTCCTAAAATTGAAAAAAAAATGACAACAAATTAATAAGCAATAAAATTCTTTCTAAATAAGCAAATAAATTCTATGAACATGTCATAAACGTTTCATTAGCTGGAATTGTATTTACTATGAATATTTACATACTTACATGTCAGTAGTTGAGACACGATATTTCTCAAGTAAATTCAATATAAATACGGCTCCACTCATTTTACCAGTTGTACCAAAAGTAATATGATATTGAATATTACAGCGTGTGGAATTATTATTGATTGGTGTACCAGCATTTGTTAACATTAATATTGCTTTTAAAGCATTTTCAATACGTGTTGTTGCTCCCTTATTACCACCACCCAAATAACACAAATGTTTAATAAATAGATGAACATTTGTTGATTTTCCCGAATAAGTTTCACCAGCAAAAATAACATGTTGTGGCACTTTATGATGCATCATATCTTGATAAGCGAGATCAGCAACCGAAAAAATATGCGGGGCATTTTCAGAACGTGATTTAAATTTATATTTTTCATGAAACTGTCCAAATAAATAATTAAAAATAAAAAAAAAATAAAACAATGCCGACTATCTATTTTGATATAAAAAAAAACTTACGCTTTCATCCATGTTAAGTTCAATTTCATTCGAATTCAATGAAAGCAAAATATCGCCAATGAAAGTATAAGATATTCCTTTACTCATTCTGTGAGCTAGTGTTTCTAACACAATACTATCAGCAACATTATCGATAGCAGCTAAATCTTCACAAAGCATTTTTTCCGGTTTTGAATTATATTTTTTAATAAAACCTCGATCAACTAACACTTCTTCAGGTTTTCTATAACTTCCACCTTCTGATTTTTCAATTAAAATTTTTAATTCTTTTTGCATCTATGACAAAAGCACAGTTTTTACAATAGGATAAAAATGAAATGGACTAATTTTTAAAAAATTTAAAATTGACTTACAGTTACTTCATTTTCGAAAGTTTCATTCAAAAATGGATGCTCAACAATTTCCAACATGTGTGCTCGATTTTCAGGATTTTTTTCCAAACATTCAGCAATGAAATCAAGAAAATTTTGACTCCAAGCCGATTGTTTTATTAAAGTTGGCGGTGGATTTCTTACTATTTGAAACATTGCTCTCGTTGGATGCATATCGGCAAATGGTGGTTTACCATCAGCTAATTCAATAGCTGTAATACCCAAAGCCCAAACATCAGATCTGCTGTCATATATTTCGGTCTCCTCTGTTTAAAAATTTAAAATTTTAGAATGAAAGTGTTCAAAAATCAGTTTCAATAATAAAACACCTACTTTTTTCAGGAGCTGTAACAATTTCTGGTGCCATCCAGCATGGTGAACCGATACATGTTCCGGTTTTACCAAAAGTTGAATCAACTTCTCTTGTCAATCCGAAATCACTTAATTTTACTTCACCATTCTTCGTTAATAAAATATTACTTCCTCGAATATCACGATGAATAAAATGATTTCGATTCAATTCGATAGCAGCTTTTGCAGTTTCTTTTAAAATAAATGCAATATGCTCTTCTTTCATTTTTTTATCGAGTGATAAAAGTTTATTAACCATTTCAACAGCAGTTCCTCCATCGCAATACTGTATAAAATCAATTTGAACAATTATTAAAAATTTGGAAAAAATTAAAAATATTTATTATGTGAAATTGACATTAGTTCAAATTTTTGAAACTCAAACACAGTATACTTTGAAACACTATTCAAGCAATAATATAATTTTATACGTTGTCAAAGTGATTGTTATTGTACTACCAATTCGTAAATTGATTGCAATTACAAGTTTGAATTTTTGATAATAATATCGGTTAAGATTGCAAACTGTCTGTTATTTAATGACTTGTGGTTTGTAATAAGTGTACTGACTAGATATACACTTGTTCAAATTCCGACACTTTTAAGTTTTTGTAACATCTAAATAATTCAAAATATATAAAGCGTTCGATCTAGATTTCAACAATTTGTCATAAAATTTAGCAATCCGTCAAAAATTTTGATTCGGTAAAATTCATGTCTTTAGGCTAAGATTTCAAATTAGATTTGAACATTTCAAGCTTTCATGCGACAAATCTCTCTAATTATACAAATGAGTATAAGTAATTGGGTTGCAAAAGAGAAGTGTCAAGTGTCAATAATTTTTATAAATTTAAATTAGGAAAATGAAAACAAAATATCATATTGTAAATGTGTCATTCATTTCTTTACGTTTTATCGTAACGTAAAATTTATTTATTTTTCTGACACATGCATATGTACATATATACATACACAAATATAATTTACATTTGAATTATGTGATAATAGAAAACCATATAAGAATAATCTTCTTAAATCATAAGAGAATTTCCAATAGTTTCTTGTTCACGCAAATTATAATTGGATCAAAAAAAACGTAAAAAAGAAAAGAAGAAGTTATTCAGAGAATAGAAAATAAAGAAAGAATGGGTTTTGATTACATAACATTATCACTATATGTAATTTTCAAGATATGTGAAAATTTTTATTAATTTTTTAGTTTAAGGCTTTTTTTTTTGGAAACTATTTTATTTCTTTATTAGTTTGTGTGTCATGGCCAAAATTTTTATTTAATTATTTTAATTTTTCAGGTACAAATTAGGAAAAAATTAAAATTTTTACCTGTAAAATAAACCAAATATCATCAGGTGCTGCACTATTCTGTTTTTTATAAGTACCATAAAAATCCGGTAAATTTGGGAATCCAGAATGATCACGGAATATTCGATATTCTTCTTCAATTAGAAATTGATGCTCTCTATCGTATGGTTGAATTTTAATTGCAACAATACGACTGTTTTGTAAATCTCGTGCTTTCCATACCTGTAACATTAAATTTTTGAAGTTAATAATCGAATAAGGTTAGTCCAATCAAATCTATAGCTTAATTTTTCAACTTTTAAGCACAGAATATTTAAATTACGTAATGTAGTGGGTTGGGTAAAATAAATTAAATTATGACTTAACAATATTTTTAATTAAATTAAAATAGGCATTTATACGAATAATTATTTAAAAAGGCTAAAATTTTAAATTTTTGCAAATATTATAAGGGGAATAAATCACTTCAGACAAGAGAATAAGTGTTTTCCACATAACATGGTAAGTGCTTCTGATATAAGATAAGGGTTTTGTGTTCTAGATCAAATCCACTCATAGTTTTATGTAAAAAAAAACACTAGAAATAAGTTATTAATATCTTATTCTCTCAATTTCGTTCCATTTTGAGAAAATTTGTTGTTTTTTTACATATTTTGTTCAAATTTAGAAAGAGTGTTTAACTGATATTCTCTTTTTCTCTCCTATATATCTTGCTGGTTTTAATAAGAAAATGTCAATTGAACAAATTCGAATAATAGTGGAAAACAACTCTGCTTCATTGGAATATTTTCTATAACCTTAAGTTACTAAATTTTAAGAAAGCCTACAGTTTTCAAAATTGTAGGCATACTTGAATTTAATTCTTTGCAGGTTTCATAATTTGAATAACTATTATGTCATACAATTTCTCTATACGTCTAAAATACAATACAGTAAAATAGACACCAACGAATGTAGAGCAGAAATTTTTGTAAATTATATAAATAGCTTAGTCAATATTTGTGATACACAAAAAAAAATTCCAATTAAATGAAATTTTCAGAGGTATTGTATGTATATTGTATGTTTTTTCATTTAATTACTAATAGAAATTAATTTTAGGTGAGATGAAGTGTTTTTTGTTTAATATATTACCACAGTTCTTAATTACCTTTGCACAAAATCCAGTACCTAATTCTTCAAGTAAAGTAAATTTATCCGTAGGATCAGGAAGTTGATCATAAGGCATATGCATTTTGATGCAAATTTATTATTTTAATCCTTTTCCTTAAAATTTATATTTTTCCGTTTCGGAAATTATTTATAATAAATTACTTAATTAATAATATTTAATTATAAAGTTTTTAAAATTAAATTTAATTATTTTGATTTTTTTTTTAATATTTTTTATTTTAAATTTTTCTTTTAACTTTTTAAAAAATTAAATTTTTTAAAAAAATTATTCAAAATTTTTTTTTCTTTCTGTAATTTTTAACAATATACGCGATAATATTGTTTTACACCAGTTTTATTGAATAGCGACACTTGCTGACTGATTGACTGAAAATTAAAAAGAAAATTAGAAAAGAAATAGAAACCTTTAATTAAATAAAAAATATAAAATCTCATTAGGGAAATTGTTAACTTTAAAGAAGCCCTAATAATGATTTTTTTAAATAAAATAAAATCAAAAAGTAAATAGAATAGATAATAAATAAAATGTAGGTATACTTGAGGTGTATGTATATGAATGTATGCCAGGTATGGATTTAAGGAATAGGTGAGTTCTTAGGAAATATTTGTAAAAACACAAAAAGGTTCTTTTATATTTCTCTCTTTTTGAATTATTCATAATGAAAATTTGAATAAGTGACTTTGCACTAATCATTTGTGAACAGTAAATTTGGGGTATTATTTTTCAGCATTCGAGAAAATCGAGAATTCCAGTAGGACTTGCACCTCATATTTTTTGATTTATAAATAAAAATGTTCAAAATTGTATGACTTTCAGAAATTTCAATTTTGTGGCCTCATAACTGAAGAATGAAGGCCCAAAAAGGAAAATGTCAACTTGCTTTGGGAGTACCATTGAGTTTCGAAGACCTTGTACATAAATGTCGGATGAAAAGTTTGTAATCCATTCATACATATTAAAACTTTTTAATGTTCAGGCTTGTATTTGAATTATTTCTTAAATTTATAGGTCTATAATTTCTGAAGAAGGGGAAAACTATAAACAAAAAATTTATTCAATCCAAAAAGTTTGTGTAAATGAGAAACAAATTTGGATAAGACTGAAATTGTCGCTTGTAATCATCGAATTAAGAAGTACCAAATTCGATTTAAGAAGTTGTTGTTTGTAACCACAGAATTATTCTGCTTTTTTCAAAATACATATAAATAGTTATAAGTAAAGGTAGATGTAAAAAACCTATAAACATCGATACTAAATATTAAGTACATTTTTGGTTATGCCTTTTTAAAATATTTAAAAAAAAAAGAATTAGTTAAAGAAAATAAGTTGAGAAAGTAGAAAAATTGCAATTTTAAAAGATTATGTTATAAGAAATGCCTTCGTTAAAAATTTTGGTTTTAGAATATTATGCAAAAATTTACGTTATGACGAAACCTTCTTATATTATAGCGTTACAAATTACTTAGAAGGACATTGAATTTAAGTATTTAATTTTTTTTTTGTTTTCTTTCAAAATTTTCAAGAATGTTTAAAATAAGTGCAATAAATGTTGCAACATATTTGCAAAATTTGATGAGACTACACTTAAAATATTTTATTAGGTAACTCATGTTTTTATTTATTTCCTTGGACTTTAAACCATATTGATTTTATTTTTACAGAATTTTTTTTTCTATTGTTGATAATATCGTAAATAATAAGGTAAAGAAATATTTATTAAATCCTTATACATATGGGTTTGTCATGAAATATGGTGTTTATTCAATTTTGAATTTGTGGTAATAGCAAATGAAAGTATTAAGGAATCTGTTAATATACCTACCACCGCCTATTAAGAGAGTTACAGCCTATCAGCTTGCTTTTGAAATTTTATTGTCATTCAAGGTCACAGGCACACTCAAAGAAGTTCTACAGCAGTTATATTAAAATTTCAAGAAAATTTATTGATTTTTGTTAATATATTTGGTATATAGAGTGATTTGGGTATTGGGTATTTGGGTTATAGAGTGACCATATTTATTGAAATCCAAAATAAATAGTACAGTTTAAATTCATTTCCATATTATGTTCAAGTAACAAAAATTCCAAATCGAATTTCTAAATCTATTCAAATTTAATTCTCATGCAAATTATTATATAAGAATATAAGAACTTTTTAATATCGGGTTCGAGTACGTATACCTCGTCAATTATCTGATAATTACGAAATAAAATATAAAAAAAAACCTACTATTTTATATTCTGTAAAAAATTTTTCCGATTGACTAAATTTCACACTACAATAATCTGTGTTAAATAAAATATTTGCTAAATAAATTAAAAAAATTATTTTATTCTTTTAAAATGCACCTACCGCATTTAAGTGGTTTCATGTCCATATTCGAAGTGAATATAATTTACACTAAATAAATATGATAGATATATACTAGAATAATTTAAGTGCAAACTTAAATTAAAAATACGAGAATAAGGTGAAAAACTATAATCTATTTTTAAAACTATTAAACATTTTCGATAAAATGGTATTGTCTAATGCAATGAGACATCTGGATAAAACTGATCATTTGTAAACAGAATATAATTAAGAATGCTATTATATTGCGCCACTGTATTTTTATTATATAAAATTTTTATAATTTTATGGCAAGAACTTGTGTTAAAACAAAAATGATTTATGTATATACTGTCAAGTTTTCTGTATTTTGGTCTACATGATCTTAATATTTGGTTCTACGATTGTTATAGCTATAGTAAAAAGTAGTTTAAATTAAATTAAAGATGGGAAACATATTGAATACGTTTTTTAATGAAAGTTTATTTCAAGATAAATCAAAAAATTACTAAGAAAATTAATAATTATTTAGTTATATACGCGTTATATATGTTAATATTGCTCGAATTTCCGGGTACCATAACTTCTTCTACTTCTCGTAGCAGAAATAATACTAATTAATATTTGCATAAATATATTTGAATATTATTATATTTTTGATATAAAAATTAAATTCATATTCAGTAGAAAAACATCATGCAAATATCCAATATAAAGATTGGGTTTTCTCAATTTGCTGATTGAAAAAATGTTGCAATTGTTCTTTCAAGTCAAAAACGTTGTCTTTCCTTTATCATTTAGGTGGCTGTACAAAAAAAAAACTGCTACTAGTTAGCTTACTCGTAAATAAAATTATAATTTTTGATTTGGTATCCCGAAAGTATGCAAAAAATTGTTTTATAATTTTTGTGAATATTTATTCAAAGGGCTTAAATTACCAACGTTTAAAAAATTTCAAATATTGTAAATGAAGACAGAAAATTGCGAGCATTTTGTTTTCATTTAAAATTATTGAGAGATTTTGAAAATTATTTTTCGTCAAAAAATTTCGTGATTCATTTTAACAATTTAGCAGTTTAGAAGAGTCGAAGTTTGAGGCGAAGTTTCTAAGTCTTACAAATTTGAATTTGTAACATTTTCTTAATTTTTGACTGCTTAAAATTAAGTTTTTCTAAAAATTTCAATTTTTTTTTTTAAATTACGATTTCAGAAGCAAATACAAATATTTTAAGGGCTACTATCGTTTTTTTGGTCACATAAATTTTTTAAACCTCAATTTTTCTTTTTTATTTAATTAAATTTCAAATTTTTTAAATACATATAACAATATTTTAGATTAATTTTAGAATATTACACTGTTCAAATATATTTTACTATTTTAAAGTGTCTTCCAAAAGAAAAAGTACAATTATGTAATTAAATATTGTCCATTCTATACGAACCGAAGAGATTCGAAATTCATTTAAGAGAACTAAAAAATTAAATTAATAATTTAATCATTTTTAATATTGTTAAACATTATAAATATTTTGCACAATTAAAATAATTTCGTTTTATTCAAACAAAAAAAAAACAAAAAAATAATAAAGTTTTTTCCGAACTGGACAATTGTAACATAAGAAATAAACTGAAATAAGTCCCTTTTAATCGAATATGATTTAGAACATAATATTCGAAATTTCACCAAGAAAAATTTAAAGAAACCATAAAAATAATGAATTGTATCGAATAATTTGTATAGTTTTTTTTTTTGTTTATTTAGAATCGATTATATTGTGTTTCTGTCATTATTATTTTTATTGTACTGCTTATATACCATATATATTTGTACATATACATACAAATCCCCTTTAACTTACAATATTTCATTAATTTTATTTTATTTTTTACTCTGAAATTGGATATGATTCTGATCGTTCTACAAAATGGAAATGACCTTTCATTATTTTGTTATTTTTTCAATTTTAATGTCAATATTTTTGAATTTTTAAAGTTATTGAAGGTAAAGTAGGCCTACACTTTGCATAAAATAATAAGTTCGAGTTTCAAAAGTTTCTTTTAAAATTTTACATGAAGTATTTTATATTGAAGAATTGAAGCTCTCAAATTTAATTGGTTATTTTGAAAGAAAAGTAAGAAGCAGTATGTATTAGAATAATGAGCCAGCATGAGTAAAAACCAAAAACTAAGAGTATACTTTCTTCTCTAAGAGAATGGCCATTTGTAGCTTCGATATGGTAGGTGAAGCTTTACAATAAAAATTAGAAATTTATTATATTTGTACTCAATTTTTTATTTACTCGTTTTAGAGTGTAGGCCACTGCTAAAATTTCTCTCTTATCATAATATAAAGAGAGTTGTTGAAATAAATGAGAGAATTTGATGAATCGAATGACATTTCATTCGATCACTTTAATTCTTCTTTAAATACATCAACCTGACAAAATCAAAAAAGAAATAATATCCTAGACTGATTATTGGTGATTTATTTTCCGCCCTTTTTTTTTTTCATTTAAAATGTAGAATTATGTTGTTTGCAATTAGTTCTTGTTTGTCAAAAGGATTAAACAATGTAAATAATTCTATATAGCATAAAATAGTAAATGAACAATATACTTTTCTTTTTTATTTTCTATTGTTAGAATGGTATGTAAAAGTCACTCAATATACCACAAAAAATTTGTTTATTATGGTGATTACAGGGATTAAAAACGAAAAGCGAATATATATAATTTTGTGGTTTTTTGAATTTTAAACCTTATAATGCTCATTTGGGTTATTGAACAATTTCCATGAAATTCTAAACTTATAAAAATTACGGTATTATGTAGTATATATACAGTGAAAAGGGGAGAAATTTGATTGCTTTTGAAAATTTTAGAGAATGTTAAAGGGGAGCATTATAAATATAAAATAAACAAGTTAAAGTTAAACTATTTTTTAACTGGTTAAAAAATTTAAACTTGTTTTCAAGCTATTCAAATTGATATTATTAAAATTATTTATAATATAAATTATTGGTTATTTTTGGGCTTGTAAAATTTTTAAAATCTAATCTTAATCCTTGTTTATTCATCTAACTATGACTATACTCTTTATAATACATAGTTTATTGTAATTTGTGCTTTTTCTGTTCTTGTGAGTTAATTGTCACCGTGACATCATCTTCATAATCCTGTTAAATGAGTGTTTTTAGATATTACGTTTTTTCATTTATTATCGTGAATCACGTGCCAAAGTATTGTGTAGTGCAGTAGTATTTTTTTCGTTTTCGAGTTTTATTTTTTGTTTCTTATAAATCTAATTGTAATATTTTGTGTAGCCTTTCCAGTAGATACCTAAAAGTATAAAACTTGTGTTGGTAATATATAGGTAGCTTTTGTGATCATATAGCTTCATTTTTTTTGAGCTCAAGTCATTTAGAATTTCTAAAATCGATCACATTTTTTTTTCAAAAATTTTTAATGAAAAAAGTGTTGCCGTGCTTGTCAATTAAAACGAAATTTTTCTATTTTTAATGTAATATTTATTATGAATCACAATAATTAAATTTTTTTTTTGTTTTTATATTTTTTATCGTTTATTATTTACAACTTACGATATATAATAAATAAATAATTGTTAATTATACAATACAATGTGTTTTATGATCTAATATCAAATATAAATACAAAATATTCTAAATTTATAATTAACTATTTTTTTTTTGTTTTATAAAATTTTTTTATTTTTTAAATTTTTTATTTGTTTGCTTGTTCTCTTCAATATTAATTTTTAATTTTTTATTAATTTTTTTGTTTTAATTAAATTTTAGTATTTTAAGTCTTTTTTTTTTTGTTTTACCCTGTATTGGTTTTGTATTTTGTGTTCTCAATTAGAAAAACATAGGGGAAGAATAAGAAAATAAAAAATTAAGAATTAAATTGAGTTTAAGCCAAGAAAAGTATTTTCTTTTTTTATTTTCAAATTATAATTTGTCGATTAATTTTCGTTTTGCAAAAAATTTCATATCTAAATTATTTTATAATACTGATTGATTTTCTTTTTCGTTTCATTCTCTTATGCAATATTCTGTAATTTTTGTATATTTTGTTTAATATTCGATTCAAATTTTTTTTATATTACAAATTTCTTTTTCTTATTTTTAATAAAAGATTTTTTCTTTTTTGTTAAATAAAAATTGATTAATTACAAACACTAACCCATTCTTCGACTTGACATTCTTCACATTCAACATAACAACACCAATGAAATTTACAATGACAACGTTCTGAACGTTTTTCTTTTACCAAATTATAGCCTCTTCCACAGCATAATGATGCACAGCCATCGCTGTTTGTGCTGGTACGATTACATTTTCTACCAACGGTACCTGAAAAATATTAAAAATTAAAATTATAAATTGAAATTAATTTTGTTTTTACAATTAATTTGACAAGTATTTGACAGTTATGTAACACATATAATTGTTTGATGATTGTTTAATATTTTATTTGAATATCATTAAAATATTTTTTATATAATTACCTTGAATATCAGCACTTAAATCTTTTTCACAAAATGTTGGTGAACGCTGATAATAAAATAATGCTGTCTCTAATTTACGATATGCTCTCGCACTATTTTTATCTAATGCTTTTCTAGGTGGACGATTATTATTATTTGCTGAATTTGATGATTTACCACCACCTCTACCACGTTTACTTAGTACAACTAATGGTTCACCATTTCCTAAATTTGATTGATCTACTAATATGGCTCGACGATATTGAGTTTTTAATACTCTGCCAATAACATGAAAATCTGGTGCAGATTTCCAACATGTTTTTAATTGACAGCTACCTGACATTCCATGACATTTACAACGTATTTCCATATGATTTGATACAGCCTATAAAATAAATAATAAAATTAAATTCAAAATTAATTTTTAGAAAAACAAATATTTAAAGAGATTATTACTTTTCTTCCAGCATTATTATTGTGCAAATTTATTCTTGATTGAATATCACCAGCCTTTTCACGTGAATCAAGAAATAATTTAGAGAATTCTACACCAAAATCCATATTATGTGAACAACCACCCCATTTCCAACGACTTGCAATTTTTGATCTTTCATAACGTTTCTCTTCTTCAGGTGTTAATACCTGATTTGTTTCTAAATATTCTAAAAATTCTTTTTTCTCTTTATCTAAACTCTGTCGTAAACTTTTCGTTAATGTTTTTCTATTTACAGATGGATCACATCCACACGATACTAAACGTCCTTGACTACATGCTCTAGCTACACTTTGCGCAACACCAGCTGCTGAAATTGCAAAAGCAAATGCACTTTCTCGATATCCTTTAATAAAGAAAAAAATTATAATAATTAATAAATAAATTTTAATTTGTTCAATGTAGATTTTTTCAGAATTAATAAGAAGTTAGAATTTTGATATCTTAAAGTAATTTGATGACGGGTTGAAATAACAGCAAAACAGTAATTTAGGTTAATATTGCATAAACTGCGGAGTTAAATATATTGTGTCTATATAAACTGGACTCAATCAACAAATAGCGGGAGATGGAATTATAGTTAGGAGTAAATTCTAAACTAAATATATTTGGAATCGAAACCTATGAACACATTGTTCGTGGAGAACTTACAGATAAAAATACAGGAAAAACGATCGGAAGATGGAAGATGAAAGATCTTTTCATAGCAATTACGATCTACCAACATTCCACCTACCTGAATTTGTAATGCAAATTGCAAGTAGGAGAGGAAAGATTTACGATAGTGTTACGCTGAGTTACTCAAATTAATTTTTGTGGTTTTTAAGAAGATACTATTATAGAGGGATGCCTCACATTGAGACCACAGATTTATACCGTATTGCGATAGTGTATTATAAATCTGTTAGTGTGTTGTACAATCTACTGTTTCAAAATTTTATAAGTAATTACATTGCAATTCTCTTGATATTTTGTATCCCATGTTTACTTTTGTGACATAATCTTGATAGTTAGTTTAAATTAAGGAATTTTATTTTATTAAAAAAAAAAAAATTAACTAAATTTAGAAATAAATTGAATTGAAATACGCACATCTGTATAAAATACTTTTATAAATTTTCGAATAAAATTAAATTCTATTAATCTGCAAAAGAAGATTCCATAGATGTTCATGACTATCACTAAAATATTTATTACTTCTTATACACTTATTTATATTTGTATTTTATTTAATTTGTTTGTATATAAGAGACGCACTTTTTTCTTAAAATTTATAAAATGAAATTGAAATTGAAAAATGTCAATTATTTGCTTTATTATATTCACATCAATGTTGTTTTGTTAAACATAAAACAGACGACCTTCAGCCACCACAAATTCAACGATAATTTTGACCAGAACCTATCATCAACTATTATCATCATTGTGTGAAATGACATGTTAAACGAAGAAATTGAAAAAAAAACATATTCCATGAAATTTATTCACTTTTTGTTTTTATTTTTTTTTTTATTCTTTTATTCATTATTATTGTCTTTTGTAATCAACAATATTAAATTTTTACATGGTTTCACGTAAAAAAAGAGCGTAAAACAATCGCGCGCGAATCATTTTTTTTTTTCGACTTTTGCTTTTTTTTTCTCATTTTTGGCTCACAAAACGAGAGGAATAAAATGATCCGTGAAAAATCTTAAAATGATGAAGATAAGAAAAACAAAAAATAAGAAAAATTTTACGAAAGCTGATTGAATTTTAGAATTTCGAAGTTTAAGAAGAATCTAAAAGGAAAATATTTTGGAAATTTGTGGACACTATAAAGAATTTTAAAATTCTCTTATATTTTATTGTTACATAGTTATCCATTAATTCTAATGATAATAATGTTGAATTTTAATTTCATGAGAGACAAAGATAATCGGACTCGAATTATCGCCAAATCTACCAATAATGGGAGCTTTTAATTCAACTTAAAACGCACCTGAGTGATTATAACCCCCTAAACAGCTGGACTTACTTAACCGTTACTGTTATTCTATCACATTTTTGTGTTTACATTCCATAAAGGAAAACATGGTAAAGTGCTGTCTCAAGATTAAGAATTAAAAAAATTATTATCAAATCAGTCTTCATTCAAATTAATTACGAATGTCTTCATTCAAATAAGTCGATTCATGGCAATGTTTATTTCATTGTTGTTATCGTAATATTTCACTTTATTAACCGACATTATGTCGAAGGGGATACACAATTAATGGAAGAAATTTCTCAGTTATTTTCTATGAATATAATTATTCGGAAAATATTTGAAACATAATGGATTTTTGGAATAATCATTTTGAATTTATGATAGATACGTTCTATTAGCATGTACTTTTTAGCACTTTTCCAAAAATTTTTTGAAAAAAAGTGCTTATTAGTTTCACTCTGTCGTCCGTCCGTCCGTCCGTCCGTCCGTCCGTCTGTCCGTGTGTCTGTTTACAAAACTTCTACACCCTTGAAGATAGAAAGCTGAAATTTTATATATACATAGATCTTTACTAGAAACTTATTTCTGTAGAACAAAATTTTTACCTATCTCCTCCCCTCTAGAAGTTATACCCCCCCAAAACCCTAAAAATGGCCTTTTTTAACTATTTGTTGCAATGAAACCATAAGCATTTTTGAAATTTTGCAAACGCAGAAAAGCAGTGGCTTGCTTCCCCTAGCGCGGCATACTATATTTAAACTTTAGAAAAACAAAATGGCCGTTCAAATTTACCGTTATCTAAAGTCCTTTTTTTGCAAATTTTTGATGTCGTTTTTTTTCCAAACTACAGCCTGTAGAAGCTTGAAATTTTAGGAGCTTTTAGACATTATCAAATAGTTCATTTCGCTAGAAGAAAATTTTTTTCCATCTCCACCCCCTCTCAAGTTATCACCTCTTGAAATTTGTAAAATTTGAATTTTTGACACCTTATATTTCCGAAACCGCAAGCTTTTTCAAATTTCTATTAACGCAAAAAGTTAACGGTAAATTCCATGAAATTAAAAAATATAATTATTTTTCTTAACTCACAAAATTAAACCTTAAAATCGAGAATTATGTTAACCCCACTTTATATTAATTTTTGCTTTATTTCAAAGACTGCATAAATCATTCATCCTAAATATATGCAATCTTAGAAATAGTTTTGTATATGAATGAAAATAATTTTAATAGTGTGATAGGTACATAGACTACATAGACTGTATTTAAAAGCAAAATTTTCATTTGTTGAAGGGAAAAGTGCTACAATACAAACCATTGGTTTGACCCAACTTTTTATTTAAACGAATATTAGAATACCGAAAAATTTACGATATACAAGCTCCAATCCTTTCGTATCTCTTTATGCCCGTTCGGTAAACATTCACATTTTCACAAAATACATTATACATTGAAGCAATTTTCTTTATCAGGATAAACTAAAATTGTTTTTTATTTTTTATTTTATGTTTAAAACTATTCCAAAGACTCCATTAACTTCTCTATTTAATTTATTTTTAATTTTAATATTTTAAATCAACAATAATACACGTTTTACCAATTTCTACTTAATTTTTTGAAACGAACAGATCACTTGTTGGTCATATTATATAAAACACAGATCAAAAGATTAAAAAATTTTATTTGTATTATAAATATGTTTATATAGCATACAATATATTTATATAATATTGTATATTGCGTATATAAACCTAGTGTGATGTCTTTTGAGAGAAAAAATAATCAGATGATGAGATTTTATACTTTGGATTTTGCATCATATGCATATCTTCATCGTATATCTAAATAAAATTGACAAGCTTACAGTAGTACCTTTTAGTATATTAGTATATAAAAATTTTAAATCAATATTAATACCTTAAGAAGCGATATAATTCCTTTTTATACTGTTGTTTCTTTACATGATTATAAAAGAATAGAATTTTATAAATTATACTTTTGAATCACATATAAGTGCATGTCGAATAAAGAAAATTTTTTGTTATTTTGTTTTGGGCTCAAAAGTACTGTATTTTTTTTTTTAGTTTATTTTCGAATAAGAAAATTTTTTTTTGTAAATTCGAAAAATAACAAACAAAATATATTGCATATAATAAAATGAAGCATAAAGTATAGAGAGGAAGCACATTAAACCAACAAAAAAAAAAAAAAATCGTAAGATTAACAAAATTCCATCAGAAGCACATTATTCATGAGGAATCTTCAAGGAAAAATGTGCACCATGAGCTCATCTACCATCTTATTTTGTTTTTTTTTTCCTATTTTAACTTATCAAAAGTATAAATAAATGAAATGAAAAGAAAACACAAACAAAAGCAAAAATAATGTTAACCAAAGAAAAAGACCAAAAAAAATTTAAAATTGAAAGGTAGAAAACAATCCTAAAGCATCATCAAATCGGACAAAGCCGACATTGCAATAATTTATTTGCATTCATATTATAAATTATATTGTAACCAAATCTCTTCATTCAATTTCAATTTAAATTGTTATCTTGACAGAGTAAGGACGATATTTGAATAAATCTTTCAAATTTAGTGCAAAAAAAAAAAAAAAAAAAACAAAACACAAATGTATAAATTGAGAAGATTGAACAAAATTTTGTTTTTTTCTCTCTTATTTTATTTAATTTTATTTATTACTGTTGTTATTATTATTATTGGTTCGTGAAATTCATTCAATTGTTGAAACAGTTGTCGACGACATGTCTTTGAATTAATATAAATGAATGGCAGACAGGTAAGACATTCTCATAGGTTTTAAATTTTTTTCTTATTTGTTTTTGTTTTTGCAAAATTTTTGACTTGATTTTTTTCTATAATATTCCTGAATTTTTTGTTTTCTATATATTCTTTTAAATATAACAAATAATTTTGAGTCAATGTGTATGGTTATGTTTTTACCGTATTTAGATTTTTAATAGAAATTAAAATTTTAATAGAAAGGCATTTTGTAATATAAATGGTTGACAATATCTTTGGAGGAAGTGTTCTCATATACAGAAGTTCATTGAAATTTCAACGGCACCAGAGTGATTTTATCACTTTAAGGTGGTTTTCAAAAAAAATTTATTCAACAAATAATATTAAAATAAAAATTTATGAGAGATTTCGCATGATTTTATACGATTTTAAAAAGCACTTACACATATAAGATTTTATTACAATACCGTAAAACTATGGTTATGATTAACGATACCGTAAACTATGGTTACTATTATTCATAACGTATTATAGTTTTAATTTTGAAAATTTTTATTTTGCTAACAAAGGATGTAGAAGTTGTCTCGTTCCGCATTACGAATTACAAAATAATAAGAA